TTTTTCGAGATGTTTTAATTTTATTTTAAATACTTTAAGTGTAAGTTAAATTTACGTAAGACAGAATATACATATATTGGATTTATAGAACTATTAATTAACTATCAGTACTTTGTGTATAATTTATATATATGTATACATTTATATATGATATATGTGTACGTTTTAAATGTGCATGAAATCAAATCAGTCTAGTAATCATAAATAAAATTTATTAATTAGAGATAATATTGACGCTACCGCCACGAGGTAATTCCTTTTGCAATTGAAGTAAAGCCGTTATAATTTATAATAGATATATATGAATACCGCATGGAAGAAATGGAATACTATATCTCTGTAATTAGTATTCATAGTTATTCATATTTCAAGATCATCTTTATAAGTAATGTCTCAGAGTACTAATACGGCTCTGTGATTGGTTTATGACATCTTAAGATGGTTTTAAAATAGACTATATGAATATATATATATATATATATATATATATCAGCCTTTATGCTGCGTATTTAAAAGTAAATCTATTTTTATACTAGCCAGGCGTCACTTACTTTTTAAATGTTCAAGTGAAACGTGTTCATATTTAAAATGTGATCAGTCCACACGTCCTTAGATATTAATTAATCGCACGAGTTTTAATTTTGCTATTTCCGAAGTGATCTATCTGCGGAAACCAATTGGATTTATGAACACACATACACGTAGACAAGATATTGCAAGATATCGAATTAATAATATATTTTAGTGACCTTTCTATCAAATAAAAATTGTTAAAAATATATTATTTATTTAGAGAAATATATCAGATATTTTTGATAATATAACACAAGTATAACACAATATATATTTATTTTATTTAAATATTAACAAAACAATTTTATGTGTACTCATTAAATGTGTACTCATTTTATTTTAAATGTACATGATTTTCTAATGCGTGTATTTATAATTAAAATTCATTTATGTATGATAGCAAACAATTAAATTAATGTTTCCATTCATTCATACATCAGCAATAATAAGTTGCTAAATATAATACTACGACCGTGTGATTCGATCTATATATGCAAAACATCCTTGGACAAACATAATGTGAGACACAATAGACGACACAATAGACGATCGTTTGTTCAGTTACACACGGTGACATACCGTGCGATGCAAAGGCCTACAATGTAACGCGGCCTCAGATGTCCAATCAAAGACGAGACCGCTAGAAAAATAATTGGCCACAATTGTTAAATTGTGCATTTCCTGATAAAAGTGGCCGGAAGACGGTCTCGCCGTCGATTCTGTCGAAATTTACAATACGCGCCAAGTAACGACGTGAGAGCTCATCTGAATCGCGGTCCCTTAAATCACTTTAAACTCAATCGCTTTGATTCTTTTATCTTCGACGAAGGAAAATAGGAATGTGGGTCATCCGTTGAACATAATCGGAAGCGTTACTTTTCATTCGATCGTCAATTAAATTCATCAATCAACCGATTTTTATCCGTTCAATGTCTATTATTGTTTCTTTCACAATTGTTCTTTTAATTATCCTCGTGTTTATAAATTTGTCATCGGGAGGGAATATCGAGGGAGTATCAGTTTCATTTATCTTCATACTGTTACATCCACTCGCGGCGCCTGCGATAATTATATTCCTGGCTTATACAGACTGGGGTACACGAGCAGATGAGCGACCAACCAAGTTAGATTAGATTAATGGCGCCAAAACATACAATTGATATTTCAATGTTATTTATTGTTTGATTGCAAAATAACATTTTAGTAAATACTGCCATATTTTTTGATTGAAGTATAATATAAATTCTGAAAGCTTTATTTTTTTTATATAAAATACTTTATAAAATCTATAGTTTTCTAAACTAAAAAAAAAACGATTTTAAATTAGCTTTCTTAATTTAACTTTTCATGTTAAGTTGATATTAATATTCACATATATTAATATTCATATATTAATAATTAAATAATTAAATACATTCATTTAAAAAAAAATAGTTATTTTTATATCAAAAAACACACTTTATAGATAAAATATCGTTTAACTGTTTTAAATTCAGTTCACTTCAATTAAAGTTAACGTCACAATAATTTGCATAATTTGCTTTAAGTATTTTAAACATAAAAATTGCTTAAATAAATTATCCAACTTGGAGGAGTAAATTAAATCAAAACACATATATAGAAGTCAATAGTAATTTGTTAATCTATCTTCCTACAATGTTAAACTGAGAGAAATCTCACCATTAACGTCGGAGTTTTACACAAGATAAAGTATCTCTGAAGTTCAATGAAATGTATAGTTATCCCATTTTCGCGAATCCATTCATCAAAACATTTCCATCGTTAGAAATTACAATTAATGTGACGATTAGCGCGGCAATCGTTACCATTGTCAGATGCGCGTGTAATAAGAAACCCATTTTTACAAACCTTGTTGCACGAAGGAGGCGCTTCCGGTCCTTGTTACAATCGATCGAAGATAAGATCGCAAATGAAATAATTATCATCCGGAGCACCGATTGCCAGCGCAGCTCGGCGTGGCCCGAGGTCAGGGGCCATAATAACAGATCACTTGACCCGACTTGTACGGCATACGTTGTAACAGTTAATGCGCAATTATTCAATTGAAATCAGTTGATTGATGCAGGAACTGGTCGCGGCAAAAAGTTCAGAAAACACATCGTGTAAATTTTTGCACACGAATTTTCGAAAGAAGTTGCAAATAATTGTTATATCGATAAAAAATTCTAATAGTTCCAAAATATAAGATACGATATATATGTGCTTCAAATGTAATTTTCAATTCGTAATTCTGAAACTATTAATGTGTGTGTGTTTCGACGTTTCTGCTAACAAGCATTGATTCTAATTGCACGTGAAGCAAGGAACAATGTTATGTACAATCGTTCCATCAATTCTAGTATTATATTCCCAGTTGTTACATTATTAAAGCGGCTTTGTAAGCAGCTTAACATTACGAAACTAATGAACATTTATCGGTATTAAATAAATCCTAGAAGAGAGTTTTACCTGCAATAATATCATTTATTAAATACAAAATTTAACAAAACACGTGATATAGTAATAATTATTATCATTATACTAATAATAATACAAATATTAAGACGAAAATAATATTAATAATACAATAATAATAATATAATAATAGAAACACTTACAAAAAACTAATTAACTGTACAATACTCAATAAGTATAATATATCGTCAGGAGAAAAAATGAAAATATAGAGACACGTAGCACCAGCTAGAAAACTCTTAATTTGTCTACCATTCTTAATATATTAATCATAGCTAATTGCTGGAAGTACAATCAAATTTATAAACAATCCATTAACGATGCACATTATTATTCAGTAACTTCACACTCTTACGCACATGTATTCTAAGTATTCTTGAACATAGAGTTCTTTCGAGAATACAGAGTTCTTTTACTCGTATTATAGTGGCGTATCTTTTCGTTCCTATGACCCGCGATCACAAGCAGCGATTATTGTTGTCGTTGCGACAAGGGAACAGGTATCGATTCTTTGGTATCGACATAACGCGGCGCATGCTGCCATGCGACCGAAATTTCGGGCAGTAAAAATATGAAGCGAGCAAAAATATATTGCAAAAGAATTCTTTTATGCCAAATCTAATTGTTCCGTATAAATTATCTATATCTATCTCAAAATAAACAAAATCTTTAAAATAATACATACACATTCGGTAACAAAAAAGAAAAAATCTCATAGTCTAGCTTTTTTTATGCTTTACAAACTAAAGGTTCTATAAAACGTTTATACACGATATTTCAAAATTGGCAGAAAATACTACCACTTCTCACAGAATTGGGCGCAGACTTTTACAATGCAATAATAGAAAATAATTGATATTTATGCAATGTTATCGAAAAAAGATACTACAATATTGGAATGTATATAATGAAAAAAATCTCGGCCATACCACTTCGACGATGTACGTCTCTTTGGCAAACATACTTGTGTGAGATTGTTTTGTTCCCAATGTGCGCAGCTCTTCTCGCGTTTAATCATCGACTTTATCAGCGCCACGAATACGGCTAACCGTACACGGTAGAGCCGTAACATCGGCTTTTAACCCGCACGTAAAATCTAAATCTACATAGTAATCTCATTATTTAGCGAACGATATGAGAATTGAGATCCTCGTGGATCGTCTTTGTGTCTCTACTTTTCTTATATAATACAAGAACGGTATAAATCTTCTAGCACTACCGATTAGTTAATCAGTAGTATCGTATTTACATTTTGATTGATTCCCTCGTAACTGTTCAATTTGTTTTTTATCTAAAAATTATATATTATAATTATATATTCGACCACTTTCATTTTTTCTTGATGCTTATTCATTATAATCCTTTGGATACAACAAGAAAAGTTTATAAACAACATTAAGTATATAACTTAAAGTTCATAATGTCAATATATGTTTTTTAAGTTTCTATTTTAATCCCAGCGTAACTTCCATCGTAAACCAATTATTTCGCAATATTCGAAGAAACGCATTATCGATTTACGATAACGAGAAAATGCGAAATATTCCAAGAATGCTTACGCGATGATATCTTTATAAATATATCCGAAATAAATACGTTCGAAATTAGCTGAAATGATCAATATGTAGCGTATTTTCGAAAAATTTGTTCGAAAAGACGATATATACAAAGACTACTAGTTTTATAAAGATTTATAATATCAATATATCATTTTATGATATAACGATAAACAATATATCATATTATTTGAAAAATATTTTCTTTAAATATTTCAATTTTTATACTTAGAGCGTTTTTCATTCTGTTTTTATTTATTTAAATATGCAAATATGTATTCGAAATTAATTCTTCAAATTTTAATCTACCTCAAACAAAACCGCTTTTACGTTAATTAAATTATTATTTTACGAATTGATTACATATTCGGATTCTCCTGAAAATGTACAGCGGTGAACTTACAACAAAACAAATCTGTCAACCTAAAGACGTGGTGAAACAATTTCAGCATTTCGTGAGCATAGCTTTCAAACGGCTATTGATTGAAACGGGGAAAAGAGCTGTCGCTCAAACGGACCGTTTCGAGCTCTCGAGCTCGTTTACGAGAAATGCCCCGAGGAACGTTCTAATGCGTTCATCGGTCAACGGCACAAAACAAATATTCCTCGTTTGATTTTTGTTCTTCATTCTTCTCTTTATTGGCATTTTTTTCGCAATTCCGTCTGCTTGCATTGCGAAATGTTTTTGCACCGTTCGCAAGATTTATACTACGTAAATCGGATCCTTGCACACCGAGATTCTTGCTTCCTGGAGGATTCTTAACCTTGGACCTAAAGGAACCCCCATCTTTTGAAGTCTCTCCTCACTCAGGTAAGGCAACTCCACCATCCCGACTTTCTCTTTCTCGAAAGCGGTCGCGTATTTCTAAAATTATAATTATTGTTGAAGATAGAAATTTCAATCAATAGTAAAAAGTTCTATTAAAAATTAAAAAAATTTAAACAGTCACACACAACACACAAAAAATTTATGATTCAGATAAATCATATCAATATTTTTATCATCTAAGAAAAAGCAATTTTTTTTAGATTGATCAAAGAATTTTTACTGACATTGGCTTATCTTCGCAAAATCGCGCATGACATAGCGAATGTACATACCTCATACCCAAGTTCCCTCAGGAACAGTCTGATGAGGGGAGGTTCCGTGCCGAAAAACTTGGTCAGTTTCTTCACTCTCGAGGGATTCGAAAGTGCCGGCAGTTCCGAATCCTTGATTAGGGGCTGCGACTGCGATCTCACCATCGCCATGCTCGTTTGTGTTCTGAGGGCTGCGATCTCGCATTTTATGCTCTCCATTTCCTGCGAAAACCTGATAGTAGTAGAATCTTGGAAATTCCAGTTTGTTTCATGCCGTAAGTGTTGTTAACTGGTTTTCTCACCTGTATCATCAGATGCTGAGTCCTCATCTCCGAGCTCAGGTGGGCCACTGATCTTGCCAGTGTTACCACGTGAGATTCTAGTCGCTGAAAACGCTTGTTGATGCTCTAAACAATTAAAATTACATTTCACTGTAATTTAATAATAATAATAATTTTAAAGGATAATAATTTTCCTTTGTACAATACATTAATTTAGTTAGCGACATTAACAACAATGCAGTACGTTTTATATTTTAAAACTCACTGTGGAAGATTGAGTAGAGCATATATGAGAGCATATATGAGAGGATAAATTTTAATAAAAATTATTAAATTAATTAAAATTAACGCCAAATATGTGTACAGTAGAACTCCGTTTATCTGCATAATTTATACGAGTAAAGTCATGTTCAATTTCAAATATCTGAATTAATAGCTCCTATCATCCGAACAACGCCGACGCAATTCGGATAATAGTAGTTCGTGATTGACTCCAGTTTTCTGACTATCAGTCCTGTTATCGGAACTAATAAATACTATAGTAGAGGGGAGAGATAGTGAACCTCTATTATCCATATCATTCAGTTATTGGAACTGTCTTGTCCCCTCAATAAGTTCGTAAATAAACGAAATTTTGCTGTATATAATCACCCACCTTAATGTCTTTGGCTTTCTTCATTCTGTCGTCAATTACGTGAGATCTACGTTTGTCATGATGCCTTGTGACAGGTCTTGATGACACAGAGGATGTCGGTAACGATGAAACTGAACCATAACTAGTGAGTCCTCTAGCCTTCCGCCTCTTTTTTACGCTGCCACCGAGTAATTTAAGTACCTGAGACAATTTTTTCACATGCAAATTAAAATAAATTCAATTACGCTCATGCCATCCTGAACACTTTTCAACACGCGTACAATGTCCTCGTTAACTTTAACATACGCTGTTATTTTTCTGCGACTAAAAAGAGCAACATATTCAATGCTTTTTAACTTGCACTAGAAGATAGATACAAAATACCACGCATCTTGCCTCTACTTGAATTATATTAATAAAATGATGAGAAATCATTTCTTATATTGAGTTATATTAATAAAATAAAAAATCATATCTGTATTTGAAACAAATTTTTTATACAAATTTGGTAACACAACATATATATTTTTAGTTTCAAAAGAATGAAAGAGTAATACGTTTTCTCTTCTGGATTTGATACATTTTTTCCTTATTTTTAAAGAAGAAACAAATAACAATAAAAAAGACGAATGATATTTTATTAAGATAATATTGTACTCACTTCGCTATACATATTTTCTAATCCTTCCAGTTGTTTCCTAATTGTCCTTGCATCAGTGGTACTGAGATCGGAATCGCTTCTATCCAACATGGAGTCCAAATCAAGTCCTGTCGTGGTGGATGTTAAATCAGCAGCTTCTACACCAAAAACTAAAAAGTGTGAATATTAATATCACAGAAATATTAAATTTAAAAAATTAGAATTCTCAGTAAAATTAACTATTTTAAAATTATATAAATTTGATCATAAAAAATTCAATATTATTTATAATAAATAATTATACTTTTTATATAAAGATAACAAATATTTGTTATCTTTGTATGTATTACAAGTATGTATTACTTGTTTAGAAAAAATATACAATAAGAGTAAAAATTGAAAAAAAAAAACTGAAGGAAGATTTTATATAATATTTAAAGAAATACTTACGGTGAGAAAACTTTTTTGCAGCCTCCTTTTTAGACGTCGAAGCGCCACGATGTTTTGTGCTGCTCGAGAAACCCCTCTTTTCCATAGCCTTGCCGTAATCGTTATAACTTGGTTTCGATCCATACGGCAAACTAAAACAAATACATGTCTATTAGTATTACAAGCACTTACATTTGAAGTAATAGCAAAATGTTACATAAAAATTAAATTCCTTTGTATAATCAATGATTGCTTTGTAAAAATAATTTATTGAAAATATCTCGTGTCGGAGATTATTTTTTTAAAATTAAAGAAGAGAGAGAGAGAGAGAGAGAGTAATCAAAAATTGACATTTCAAATTAAATCTTGCATCCGAGTCTCGCGTGATTAACAGTTTATAAAGTTGCAATAGAAAAGCATTTATTTTTAACATAGTAAAGGCCACTTTTCGGCGAGACATCGATATCGGAATTTCGATATACGAGGAAGGTAACAGAATCGGAAGTGACTAAAGGCGGTGACCGGAAGTAACACCGGTTGCATGAAGAAGAGGGACCTGTTTGAAGTTGAGTTACCTCGTTGAGTATCGATTTCTCGGCGTACGTGGACTGTCATGGGGTGACAATGGTGGCAGAGGCGGTGTCACCGAGGATACACTTTCGGACAGAGTGGAGTGCGCCATCGCTGGAACGTCCCTGGGCTCCAAAATACTCCTCAGCTCTGACTCCACTATGTCCACCCATTCGGAATCTTGTGCTGCCGAAGAGAAACAAAGAGATAGAAATCATATATTCTGACAGAACGACCGATGCTTTCGAACTTTTCTTCGAAAGAAAAATAAAATTGCGACTCTAATATTATAAATTGCAACTAATAAATCACGAATATAAAAAATGATACATATAGAGATAAGTATCACCACTTTTAAGATATAATTAATTAAAATAGCACACCTATTTATTTTTTATTATTAATTAAAATAATGTATTGTAATCAATTTTTATAATATTATATAAATAAGTAAAGCAATTACAAATTTTTTCTAAAATACAATAATTTGTGTCATTTTTAGATATCTTTAATAAAATATTATAAGAAATGTATAAAAAAACTTCGTGAAGCATATGATTCTTTTGTAAATTTATATTTTTGCAAACATTAAGTAGCAAACAATTATTTTCCTAACAAATGTGGGAAGTAATATCTCATAACAAAAAGAAAGAGAAAAATATAATTTTGTCAGCTAATAATAGAAAGTAAAATGTTTATAAAATTGAGATGTTAAAAAATCGTAAAATATACTTTTTTATTACATATTATTATTTGATTATTAAGAATGAAAGTCTAAGACCGAGTATATAAAAATCGATTGGCCTTTTCACAGAAAACAGCTGACGCTGGAAAAAGTAGTCCAAAAGCATGTATGTCTATGTATGTATGTAGTAAGATGACTACAATCAAAAAGTTCAAGGTGAAATCAGAAAGTCAATTCTTACCTTGCGCTAAAGTTTGATCATCGGGCGGCGGGCATCTTCCACTCGAATAGACTGCGGAGCCCCTTCCTGAATCGACATTCGAAGAACTCTGGCCAGCCTTGTCGTAATCCGAGCCTGAGCCTTGATTCTGGATCTTCAATCGGCCGATACCCTGCTCCAGATCGTCTTTCCTATCTGATTTCACGACGGATTCCTTCCCGCTATATTGTCCATCGAGCCTTTTCGATGCCTCGCCGATCATTTTCGTAGCTAAACCGACCCTTAAGCCGTCCGTATCATCCTTTGGTGGCTTGGAGTTTAAATGACCCTCCTGCTCCGTTCTCTTCTGCAACTCTTCGATCCTCTTCTGCACAGAATTTCCCTCTACCGAATTCTGACCTCCCTCTTGACCCGACGATCCCTGTTCTTGCTCTCTCTTTGATGTTCGTGTCTCATCTCTTCGAATACCGAAACTGGTTTCCGGTCGATACTCCTCATTCCTTTGTAATCCGTTTCTTCCGGGCTCACATTGACTTCGATCTTCTACCGTAATCTCATATCTAAAATGTACAGTGTTCTTAGAGCGCTAAGCTTTTAAAGCTCTAATACACTGCATTCTCAAAGAAAAACATAGTGTGACATCTGTATAAGTTTTATAATTTTATATTGTGTGTAATTAATGTATACAGTTAAATGTATATTTTATAATAAATAATATCTATATTATTTATTATAAAACTTATTTAATATTATATCATCATTATATATATTATTTAATAAATCATTTTATAGCTGCAGTAACCATAAAGTATTCAATTATGTGTATTAATTCTGTACGAATAAAACTTGTATAGTTGTCACCTACATAGTTTTGCTATCGCTATGGATCGTATTCAGAACGCGCTTATAACGATGTTAGCGCGCATTTGGCATATAGTTTACGTTATACATACTATAGAATTTCAGAAATAAAAGCGCGCACTTATTCGATAAAAGCGCGTTCTGAATACGAGCATTTCCTTCTTCTCAATGTATGTACATCCATGTTACTTTAATAATTCTTCAAAATATTATATAATATTTTTTGTAAGTGTTACCACACTGACAAAAATATTACGTCAGTTATATTTGTTATATCTATATAAAACTCTTGTGTATAGTACAATAATTTTCTTTAAATCTTACCTCTCTTTATCCAACGGATCTACTATTAAATTCTTCATATTCTCTCCGGGATTCTTCGAAACCTCGGTATTTCGTTCATCTTCGTAACAGAGTTGCGGCTGTGAAGCCGCTTTCTCGATACCTTTCGCAGAGTTTCGCCTCTGAAATTCCGTTTCCTGATTACTCTCGGTCTTCATATACACCTGGGGAATGCCATAACGAGCCCTTCCTTGAGCATAATGGTAGTAAACCTCTTGGCCCGATACTCGGAGCTCTTGCGCTTGTCTTGACGTGCTCGGAAGATCGATCTGCGACCTCGACATCGCCTGTCGCGCCTGCTGATACTGTTGATAAGATACGCTATTGGGAAAATATGACTGCTGCATATTTCGCGCACTTGCAGTTTGCGAGCCCTGTTGGCCGGCCATTTGCTGCTGGTGCATCTGTTGGATTAATTGCTGACGCTGATGCATGTTCTGAGCGTGCTGTTGTGCGAATCGTGGACTCTGATGATGGTTCTGATTCTGATGAAGTAACTGCTGAGGACTCTGGAAGCTTGGACTCGTCGTCGACATCGCATTGCCCACTTGATGCTGTTGTACGGATAGACCATGCGGTTTTTGCACTGCTGTGCCTTGCCCCTAAACCAACCAACCGGCTCGTTAACAATAAGTTACCGTTAAATCGTGAATGCCTATCTGCTTTTTGTAGAACTATTAACATAGTGGAAATCTACTTCAGTTAAGCTTTAATTAGCTTTTACAGACGTGCGTATCGGCACGATAATTCACTAGTTTTTAGTGTTCGATAACTGTATTACTTTATTTTCTTTTACAAGTAAAATTATTTATTCGTAACAACACTTGTGATATCCTATTCTTAAATTGTTTAACCGAAATGTCAATAATAATTTATTATTAAATGGATAATTGGCCTGTATGCTTTTTGTCGCAAATTGATAACGTTTAAACAATTATTGTAATAAATTTAATTGTAATAAATTTAATAATTATTCTAATATGAGCAAAATGCATATGTGAGCTTCCGCGGATGTTGGTGCATAAATTATGTATTCATAAAACCATAGATACAATTCACATTATACACATACACGCGTACACACATGTCATACATCACCAACCAATTAAAATGTACTTACCAAACGAAACTAAAGAAAATGCAAATATTTTGACTCTGGATTTCAATTCTCTTTGGTAGTGGAAGTTAAGTACAAACTAGTAATGTATAAATACTTGACCTGGACAGGTCTCCGTCAAATACAGAATCAAAAAGTTTGTGTTTACTTTAACTTCGTTTAGTAGGTACTTAATTTATTGCAAATTGTATATATCTGTTAAGAATATACCATTTATGTATCAACGTATACAGAACGAAGGTTGACATGAGCATTTTTTATTTAGATTTTACCTTGGATTCCCATAATATTATCATAATTATTAAATATTAATATTATTATTTTGCAATTGTATTTATTTTATTTCAATTTAATAATTGTTTTATTAGACAGTATTTTTAAATTTTATACGTAAAAGAACTTATGAATTTTTCTTATACGTTATTTTTCATGTTGGAACTCTCTTCCGTACTTTTTATCCTAACTACCACATCACGCATCAACCTCGATCATCGCCATTGCATGGATCGCATTATAAAAAAAAGAGTAATCCCGTACAATTTTCAGCGTGGTTATGTAAATTTTACAGACTTCTCTACGAATCTTTCCCATCGCGTACGCAACTGCATAGAAAGTTGTTGAGATGCGTCATTATGAGTAATATACTGCGCACAGTTCGTCGGTGATTTAGCGCTCCGTAGCACTGTGTTGCACGCGTTCACTATCATTATACCAACCGTTATTTAACAAACTGTTAAAATGTTGGCGCGCTGCTAAGCGAGTATCAATCATTATATACTACAAACGGAACATTCGTATGAGCCGTGTCACGCCACGTTATACATTATCATTCGAATATTACATTATGCCGTTTAATGCTCCGCGTACATCAGTCAGCTTTTGTACAAAACATAATTACTTGTTACGTGACTACGTAGTTATTTTATTTGAATTTATATGAAAGAGATGTCATGAAGAGACAGGTGACAAGATATGAGACATATTTTTTCATTTGCCGATGAGTTTCTGTTTCCTGCACGCAACAAATATCCGCACCCTCGCAAAAATGTCGAATGGAGAAATACCACGAACTGTGTATTTCGTTCAACAAACTTATACGTCTATCTTTTCTTATCAGAAAGCAATTTAAATATAGGTATTTTGAAGAAAAATTTTAATGAAATAAATTGTACTTTTTATTAAAAATTATTTAAATTTGTTTTAAAGAAAAGTTTAAATAAAATTAATTGTATTTTTTTTAATAAATCAGAGCTTATATAAAAGAAAACGGAGGAAGACAAGAGAATTATTTTTTATTTAAAAATATTTTGTTATAGGATAAAGTATCTCAAATAATATTGCATCCTTGAGAGAAGAGCATCACAGCTTAAAAGAAGAAACGATGTTAACAAATTCTATTAATCTTATAAAATAATAATGAATTAATATATTATTTTATATAACGTTATAATATTAATTTTATTTATTAAAAAAACAAAATAAAAATCTGTAACATTTTCCATTTTTTAAATTTATATTATTTATAATTTTAACATTTTCGTTGCATTGTTACGGTCTCTTTTTGATAATATTGTCAGAAGACAGATGTGATCAATTCTATCTTTAATAACTTTTTTAATTTTAGTATACACAATTAATTTATAATTTCATCACTTTTTTTATTCGAATATCACATGAACTGATCAATTTGACTTTTGAAAGACAAGAAAACGCAGAAGTTGTTAACGTCAAATTTTCGCATCATTTATTCACCAGCGAGTTTTATCGAAGATATCAGATATCGACGCGAACATTTCTCATTTTGATCTTGAGATGTACCTGTGCTTGCGTGGGATTCTGATGGATTCCTTGATGTATTTGCTGTCCGGTCATACCGCCCGATGTCTGAACCATGTACTCCCTCGTAACATTTTGCACCTGCTGCGCACCTGTCGTGGTTTGGCCAAAAGCAGGAACTTGAGTTTGATGAACTGTTTGAATTCCTCCTGGCGGAGTATGGTGTGTTACGTGAAGCTGAGCGCTTTGCCCTGGTAAATTCGGCTGAATAGTCGCGGTCGGCTGCAGTTGACCTGGTAGAGGTATATTTTGCTGGTTACTTTGATAGCCGTACGAGTGACCATATTGACCTGAACAATGAGAGCAAATATTTCATATTGTTTCAATTCGTTACATAAAGAAGATCAATTAATACTAGCTCAGGCTCAGACTGCACAGTATACGTTTAAGACGTGTGTTGAATTACATTACTTTATAAAAAAAATTTTATTCTCATGCATCTAGCAAATCTAACTATTTGATGTGCAAAATTTGAAGAATGTCGGGCATAATCATTGCGTTTAATTTTAATCCTTAACGTTTATTTGCGCTTCTTATTAATATGTAAAAACTTTTTTAAACTATCTCATTGTATATTGAAAAAGACTCAAATTCAGAGTCGAAACGTTTATATTATATAAACATCAATATTCATTATACATTAATAACCTGTTGGCCCTTTAATGGCAAATTGTTCACTAAGATTTATTCATTCGAGCTTATTGACCATGTTTAGTTTCTAAAATTAACGTTATTTTTCTCTGTTAAATACATTATCTTTCCGTTAAATTTGGTATATATTTCTATAGTTAAATTTACATATTAAAAATGCATCTATGTGTATTATGTAAAGATTTGAAGTAACTGTTTCAATATACTCGTACACTCAAGTATAGAAGTACAACTGAAACGTTGCATCATATACGTACATGCTCGTTCTGAACGCTATCAGGAATGCTAAAATGTATGAATATGCATTGCGCACTGAAGTTAATTAAAAGGAAAGTTTCTCCTCCATTTATGTGCCAACTACATACGTTGAAGCACACGTATGGTGCAAACGAATCATTATTACGGTTATAGAAATTATAGAGGAGGTTTAAAATGCTAAAAACAGGAAAATTACAAAGAACTTTTAAACATTAAAAAAAATATAAGGGATATATATGGTGTAATGAAATTTGAGATATCAATAAAAAAAACTTCGTATAAAAACAATTGTTAGAAATAGTCGAATGAGCTATACGAAATCTTATAGTCGATTTCACCGATCTTTTTCAACATATGTATATATTATATGTATCATCTTTGAAATATTCAACATACTCGACTATCGTAATTTTTTTTATCACGTATTCGTCTTTTCCCCTATCATAAAAGACTTTAAAATTATTTCTTTATTTTACTTAACAGTTAAAAACTGGCGAATCATTAATTTTACATCCGTTCGTAAAAATTTAATGTTCATGTATCGACCGCTAATCTCGATTTAAGTGAACGATTAAACGAAAAGATATTACTCGTGTATTAAAGCTTACCGTTTATTGCGAAATAATAGCGGCGATATTGCGCGTGCGAAGCTCTCGTCTTCGTACATTGTGAATTTACAGGTTTGCACAACGAGCGAGTGCGAATAATACACCGTGTAAAAAGGAGGAAAGTCTCACACGACGCGTGCACTTGTAAGTGACAAGTTGTAAGTTACGAGCGGCAAAGTAAGCTCACTTGTTAAATAAAAATCAGAAATGTATAATCCAATAAATTTGCCATCAAGAGCTGTGACATATAATGTTACCTTGGCTGTCGTTATTTAAAGATCATTACGAAGACTACGAATGGAACTCTTGCAACTTTCCATTTTAAAATTGTATCAATTGCTACATAGTGTAGCATTAATTAAAATATTTCTACACTTTGTGAATTTATAGTGGTTAATTATTTAAACTCCCAGCTGCACGGTAATTAATTAATTAATATCGCTGTGTGTAAACAAATTAATGAATAAACGATATAAAATGTTTCTTCTGCAACAAACTTTATGTCATTAATTTTTTGCAAATACAGAGCTCGGCTAGTGCTCTTCTAGGAGCGGAAAGGCCCGTTGCTATGCACGCAGACCATACACGCTTGCATACACCGTTTCATATTTATAAAACATGCAACTCCGCCATTTAACGTTCCGCTCAACAGGCTCTTTCCTCAAATTAATTCATCAACATTTATGAGCTAATTAACGGCACCTCGCTGAGCATTGCGCTTTAACGCGCCTAATTGCCCGACTAGCATCTTGCTTGGTCGCGTCTAACTTACCGTAAGTATTCTTTGAATATTGTTGCACATTAACCGGCTCCTGCGCGCGAGGTTTTCCATAAATCCCTTCCTTCTTCCTAGTTTCGTCATCGTCGATGCTCCTGCTCGACTTTCGCAGCTCCTCCGTGACGTTGTTTAGACTGGCTTCCGGTTCCGGCTCAATGTCCTTGCGACTAGGTCCGAAACGACTCGAGATCATGTCCTTAATCGTGTGATAAGTTCTGGAGAGTGACTTTGTCTTTTCCTCGTCAATCTTCGTTGTCCTCGGCACCGCTCCGCTAGACGATCTGCAGAACACAATACAATAGGAAGTTTAATCTCACGAAGGCATTAACATGTTATTATTATAATACACGCCGTAGATATGATAACATTGCTGCAGGTATGATAATATTGCTCGTGCATTAATATTACCGTTAATGATAGGGAAACAATTTATTTCACTTAACGTCGATTGTATAATAAACAAGATAAATATGAGAGTGAAAGAAAGAAATGATATCTGAGATGAAACAATAGACCCGCAGGTCTCTCTCTTGAATCTTTATAAATAGAAGGACCGTAATTTAACGTGAGCGTGAAATAAGCATGAAGTAATTACGAGTAGGCGTCCTGTGACTGATAGTTTCTCGCTTGGCCGTCCTGTCTTACTTCCTGCATCTGAGTTCCCTGAAAAAAAGAAGAAACGCATTCGCCTGATGAGTGCACATTGTTAATGATCGGCACACATCGTTAATAAAATATCCTCTATAAACGCGTAAATTGCGGAACGTATAACGTCCTATGTAAATCCATTAATTCCGTAACGGGGCGGCGCGGGCGGTTTCGTTAGATGCGTCCAATTAAGCCGTCAAACGAGGAGTACGTAATTATGTATCGGCAACATCAAAAACGAAGCAAAGTCTCGCAAAATCGACACTCACCGACTTAGGCATCGATGAAACTTACCTCTTTCGATTAAAAAGTATTAAAAACCACCTAAACGCAAGGGAAACTGAAGTCTAATTAAAATTGAATAAGTTCGCCGCCCCGTTGTTAGCGAGTTGATATATTAAATTATTACCAGGCACGAGCATACATTAATCCGTTAGGGGAAAATTGTTTACGTAGTTTGTACGTCAAAAAGCAACGGGGAAAATGCAGTAAACTTTTATCATCATATCTTAAAATTGGCGTGTTACGCTTTTTTGAAGTCTCTATTCGTTGAGGCAGTTAAAGTAATCCGAAAATGGTGAATTTTGGTAACAAGGAATTTTCGGGGACGCTCTTTTAAAAACATGGTAAAAATTATAATAATTAAAAAAGACTTATCCAATATGGCGGACGGAAAAGATGCGAAAATCTTAAAGGTTTTCCGATTTCGGCGAAATTTGGATTAAGGGGGCTTACGCGGACGCTGATTTCGAATCCGTGATCAAAATTAGGAAAATCCAAATGGCTGATCCAAAATGGCGGACGGAAAGTGTTACGAATTACATAAAAATTTAAAAATTTCGGCGAAATTAGGTAAATGGGGGTTACCGCGAACGCTGGTTTTGATTCCGTGTTCCAAATTTTTAAATTCAATATGGCAGACGGAAATGTTGCGGAAATCAATAAGATTTTCCAAATATGACGAATTTAATAAGACGCAAAGAAATGTAATTATAATTTAAAGCTTAATCGACCATGCTTTGGTGTAAATTTTGTAAGAGAAAATTATATGGTCGTTCAAAAAAAAAGAATCGCGCGCGTAGAGCTCTGTGAAGTTGGCACCCCTAAATGCGAATATTGGTAATATCATTATTGCATTCGTTTGTCCACTGTTTGTCCACGTTTGTCCACCCGTTATTTACTTTGGTCCACCCCGCAAAAAAAGGTTATACACAAAAAAAAATTGTAACATCCCCAAGTGATAATTTTTCATAATTATGTACGGGTATCGTTTGTCCACAACGCGCACGTGATTGTCTACCCATTAATAACTTTTTTTTGGAGGGTGGACAAATGAAAATAACGGGTGGACAAACGTGGACAAACAGTGGACAAACGAATGCAATAATGATTTTACCAATATTCGCATTTAGGGTGCCAACTTCATAAAGCAGCTCTGTAAAGTTGGAATCTGTAAATGCGAATATTGATAATATTATTATTACATTTGTTTGTCCACTGTTTGTCCACGTTTGTCCACCCTATGTTTATTATATTTTTTGTAATAGTGTAAAATAACCACTTGGGGATGTTACAATTTTTTTTGTGTATAACTTTTTTTTGGAGGGTGGACAAATGAAAATAACGGGCGGACAAACGTGGACAAACAGTGGACAAACGAATGTAATAAT